TTCACCCAGAGACTCTTCACCCAAAAACTCTTATTACACATACTTTTCACCCATATACTTTTCACCCACAGACTCTTCACCCTACCCAGAAAACTCTTCTTGCACAGACATTTCAACCATAAACTTTTCACCCAGAACTCTTCTAGCACATACTTTTCACCCATATACTTTTCACCCAGAGACTCTTCACCCAGAAACTCTTCTTGCACATACTTTTCACCCATATACTTTTCACCCAGAAACTCTTCTTGCACATACTTTTCACCCATAGACTTTTCACCGAGAGACTCTGCACCCCGAAACTCTTCTTGCACATACTTTTCACCCATATACTTTTCACCCAGAGACTCTTCACCCAGAAACTCTTCTTGCACATACTTTTCACCCATATACTTTTCACCCAGAGACTCTTCACCCAGAAACTCTTCTTGCACATACTTTTCACCCATATATTTTTCACCCAGAGACTCTTCACCCAGAAACTCTTCTTGTACATACTTTTCACCCATATACTTTTCACCCAGAGACTCTTCACCCAGAAACTCTTCTTGCACATACTTTTCACCCATATACTTTTCATCCACAGACTCTTCACCCAGAAACCCTTCTTCCACATACTTTTCACCCATATACTTTTCACCCATATACTTTTCATCCAGAGACTCTTCATCCAGAAACTCTTCTTGTACATAATTTTCACCCACAGACTCTTCACCCAGAAACTCTTCTTACACATACTTTTCACCCATATACTTTTCACCCAGAGACTCTTCACCCAGAAACTCTTCTTGCACATACTTTTCACCCATATACTTTTCACCCAGAGACTCTTCACCTAGAAACTTTTCTTGCACATATTTTTCACCCATATACTTTCACCCAGAGACTCTGCACCCAGAAACCCTTCTTGCACATACTTTTCACCCATATACTTTTCACCCAGAGACTCTTCACCCAGAAACTCTTCTTGCACATATTTTTCACCCATATACTTTTCACCCAGGGACTCTTCACCCAGAAACTCTTCTTGCACATACTTTTCACCCATATACTTTTCACCCAGAGACTCTTCACCCAGAAACTCTTCTTGCACAGACTTTTCACCCAGAAACTCTTCTTGCACATACTTTTCACCCATATACTTTTCATCCAGGGACTTTTCACCCAGAAACTCTTTTTGCACAGATTTTTCACCCAGAGACTCTTCACCCAGAAACTCTTCTTGCACATACTTTTCACCCATATACTTTTCACCCAGAGACTCTTCACCCAGAAACTCTTCTTGCACATACTTTTTCACCAATATACTTTTCACCCAGAGACTCTTCACCTAGAAACTTTTCTTGCACATATTTTTCACCCATATACTTTCACCCAGAAACTTTTCTTGCACATACTTTTCACCCATATACTTTTCACCCAGAGACTCTTCACCCAGAAACTCTTCTTGCACATACTTTTCGCCCATATACTTTTCACCCAGAGACTCTTCACCCAGAAACCCTTCTTGCACATACTTTTCACCCAATGTCCTTCTCTCTCCAATCTCCTCTAACTAGCTGGCCCATCTATCTGTCCATTGACTGAGCCCAGAAAACCCCACTCTTACTAGCTGGCCCATCTATCTGTCCATTAACTGAACCCGAAAAACCGGACCTAGGGGGAATCGATACCCACCGTCACTGTTTTGCCGCCTGGTACATTACCCTGCAAAACCATACTTTTTTCTCACTAAAATCACCACCTATTTTCCCGATTTTTGACCCGTTTGGCAACTACCCCCCACCCCCAGACCCCCTATTCTCACTTCGTTCGCAAATAGCAACTAGCCAGCTTCCCGGCTGGCTTTCGAAATATATATATATATATATGTATGTATGTATGTATGTATGTATGTATGTATGTATGTATGTATGTATGTATGTATGTATGTATATGTTCTGAATAACACACAGAAGGATGTTGCTTTGAACAAAGACACAAAATACACAAAATTGCACAACCCATGACCCATGTCTCTGAATTCTCTCAATGATGTCTGCATTATGTGTGTGTGCATGTGTGTTTTAATCGTTTTGGGCATTTTTGGTAGCGGGTGGCGTCATGAGAAAGCCCGCCCTACACAAAGGCAAGACCCATGAAGTAAGGCTGGTGAGTAGATATGATGTTGGACACTCTGGGTGTTTTGCCTTTTCCGTGCTGAATGGATGCTTTTGGGCGGTCGGGAAAGTGGCCAAACCCTTGAGAAAACAAGAAAATGAATTCCACACTCTTGGCCCTGGCCTCCCCCCAAACTCCAAAGTTTTGAAACCATATTATATTTTTATATATACATATACACACATTGCTATATTGTTTTTGTCTTCCCCGACCTGCCAGGTGAGGGTCTCTAGATTTTATGTCAGCATGTCCTGCTCCTTCATCGTCTGCTCTCGCTCCCCCAGATCCAGACAGAGAGAATGTCAGAACAAATGCCAAATAGAATGTCAGAGTAAATGCCAGATAGAATGCCAAATGCAATGGCAAATAGAATCTCGGAATGTAATTGTAGACAAAATCAGAATATATATATGTCATTTGGTGGGGATCACAAGAAATATCAAGAAATAAAGCAATTGAATGATAACTAAATGTCTTCAATCACAATGACTTAGGTCCACCAAGGTAATGTCCGATGCATTTTGGTACTGGACCACCCCTTCCCGGGACACTCTGCCCTGAACTACCACCACGATCCACAGAGAATACCATTCCAAATTGTCACCAACATTTTGTTGACGAAGACCAACTCTCAAGTTGAATAATGTGGCTAAAACAATGCCATGTTTACCATCCCCCAGAAAAATCACCATTTTCAAAATGGTGGTATGTAAACACCATTCCCAGTCATGGGTGGTAAACATGGCATTGTTTTACCCACATTATGCCAGAAATCTATAGAAATGTTGGATGGTAACGACCCTCGCAGAAAAGCCCCACGGCACCTCTTCTTTGGCGCCCGCCCGCTCGCCCGTAAACAACTGGCCCTGGGAAGCGAAAAAAAGCTCCGACTGGGAAGCTATAGGTTTTCCCAGGGAAGCTATGGATGGATATATAATATGTATACATATATATATATATATAGGTAAATTATAATATTTCACTAACCTGAGATTTTTGGCTATTTGGGGATGATTTCCCTTATTAACCATGATTCCAGTGAGGTCGTAGTGAGGTCGTTACAATTTACCCAGATATGTATATATATATATATGTATGTATATATATAATGTATATATAATGTATATATATATATTACTATGTATATATATAATATTTTTAACAATGCATATAGTCACCCCAAGAACAATTTTTTAGCATCATGTTCCCACTTTTCCCCATCATTTTTCGTGCAAGTCGGGTAGAGGTACACCATGGTACACCTCTGGAGAAACCACAAAGTTCGCATGGCTCAGGGCAGTTGCTGCACCATGTGGACATGGCATTGACCAACAACATAGCATAACATAGCTTCACCAGCAGATGATTCGAAAAAAAAAATCCTTCCTAACATTGAAAAATGTTCAATACCTCAGAAACCCTGGTGTATCTATTGGATGTCAAGGGGGGGAATCATTAGATGTGCTCAAAAATCAACTCTCCTTGCCCGTAAGTTGACAATTTATCATGTCAATTCTACTTGATGAGGCTGGTCGCGTGACCCAAAAGAACCATGAACCCTACAAGGTGGTGCCCCATAGTTAGCTAAGTTGGTGAACATAACTCCAGTAACTATGGTTTATGGCAGATATAACTATAGTTTTCATGGGGTTTATAAACCAACTTATAACTGGGGGGCACCATCCTGTATGTGTTTCTTTAATGTTTCAAACACTGCTCACGTAGCCACCTTGGACCTGAATTCTGACCCATTTGGAGCCTTAGAAGGGCTGGCATGAGCCAAATCGATGAGCAAATCCTCGAAAGGTTTCCTTGTTTGGCGAAGCCCTGGGAGTAGAAATCTGACTTACCACATCTTACCGCCCATCTCAAAGGCAGCTCGAATCCAGAGTAGACTGAGCGGGAGAGAGGGAGGGATCGAGAGATAAGTGACATGATTTTACTTCAAATTCAAATAATCCCATCCCCCATTTGGATCCATTTTGGAATGTTTTGTATTGGGATTGGATTTTGTTGAAGCCCCAAGCCGCGCAGCCACAGAAGGCCACAGGCACGGCACTGAGTCACTGAGATCCGGGCTCCACCAGGGTTACCAGGGTCGTGACACCCGGCTTCTCGTCGTCGAAGTACTTGGGATGTTGTTTGGACATCCATCCAAGCCTTGTCGCAGGGTGGGCCCAATCTCTTATCGTTGCCTCAGCTCTTAGACTCTTGTCGCTGGTTGGTGGTTGAGTATACCAACCCCTCTGAAAAATGATGGAGTGAAAGTCAGTTGGGATGATGAAATTCCCAATATATGGAAAAAAAAATGTTCCAAACCACCAACCAGCCAGGATACTGAGCCTGACTCTGTCCCCTTTATTTATTGGCAAAGCAAACATTTGGACGCCCTTGGAGATGTTCCGAACTGCGACTGGGTTTTCTGGCTTCAACTTCAGCTCAGTGAAGTTCACCAACCTGGAAAATCAGGTGAGTTTGTTGTCAGCTAAGGAGACATTGACTTCCCACTTGCCACACTGTCGCTACAAGTATGATACAGAAGCCAGGTCCCCAGGTGTCACATGAGTTCGCATCCACTTGAAATGCAAGATGTCATGGCTAAAAAAAGGCAGAAATTTTCTGCACGTCTGAAAAGTGTGTTTTTCTCACAGCTGCTAGTTGTAATCATAGTAATTAATCTCGAGGCAAAAGTCCAGTTCCGCAGAGATGTTCCAGGATCCTCCCGGATTCTAAGTTGCAAACCCTTTCCAAACCCACTGGCGAATCTCATTCTTTTCCGTTAGTCGGATCTCGGCTGAAAAAGCGGCAACAGATGGTGGCCCAAAAAAAGTGCCGCAGAA